CCCGCCCGCCGGCGCCGCTCGCACATGCCTGAGCCGCAACCCCGCGAGCAGGCAGCGCCGGCCCCCCGCCCCGCGGCCCCGGGCCCCGACTCCGGCGCCTTGCCTCCTCCCGGGCCGGGCGCCGTGGCCCCGGCATGAGGAGCGGGCGATGATCCCCGCTAACGCCTCCGTCAGGAAGGGGCCGGAGGGCAAGTACCCGCTGCACTACCTCGTGTGGCACAACCGCCACAGCGAGCTGGAGAAAGAGGTCCGCGCCGGCCAGGTAAGAGCGCCGTCGGGCGCCGCGGGGACCCCACGGCCGGTCACGCCCGCGCGGCGTGGGGAGAGGGCGCGGCGCGGGCTGTCCCGCCTCCCCGGCGAGTTTGCAGCGCTTCTTTGTTCGAACCGCGGCTTTTGTGCTCGTGGACCGGGAGAGGGTGAAGGGAGCGGCCCTCCCCGCTCCGCTCCGGCGGGGACCGGCGGCCCACACGTGTCCCGGACCCTCTCAGATCGGGGTAGGGGATACAGTGCCCCTCCTCCGCCGGGTCGTGAGGGCTGCGGGGGAGGGACTGCCGGCTCGGTCTGTGTTCTGTGTGGTGGGAGAGTCCACCCCACTCAGTGGAGCAGCGACACCTCCCGCGTGGGTGTGCGGAGGTAGGCAAAGCCTGCGTGTGTGTGTGTGTGGGGGGGTCAAGTGTCAAGGATCAGAGAATAGGCTGTGTGACACTCCCAGGCATCCCAGCCCCACCCATTGCCCTCTACCCTCAAGGCGAGCGCTTAATCTGTTTGCTTAGACTGGGCAGAGCCCCGGGATCCCTCAGATCCCAGAGCCGGCTCAGGAATGGGGAGTGGACAAAGAGAGACCCTCTTCGGGAAGCCCCGAGAGCCTTGTCCAGGTGCTGAAAGGCGCTCTCCTGCCCTCTGGTGCTGGGGCCTGGCTTCTAGGCTCTAAGGAAGCTAGGGGTCACTAGTCACAGGAAAGATGTGAGGTTCTGCACACACAGCGGGCTCCCTGGTTCCTGCTAGTCAGTGAGAATGGTTGGGTCAGCCAGCTTTGACTGGATGGTGGCCTCCAAGAAGATGGGGTAAGGTGGGATCTCCTGGCCATTCTTCAGGACCAAGGCAGGCACAGGTCCACAGGTAGTTCCCAACTCCGCCCTTGACCCCCAGGCCACAGGTAGGCACTGGTGGCATGAACAGTGTGCCCTCCAGAGTATAGAGGCAGGAGCCAGAGATGGGCCCCGCCTGCCCTGGGTTGCCTGAGGTTCAGAACTGCAGACTTCGCCTGGGTCTAAGACTCCAGGGCCATGGACTGGGCGTGGTTTGCTCAGGGATTGTCCCCTTTGGGAATATGCCTTTTGATGGCCACTTCCTGAGTCATAGGAAGTTCAGTCTGAGCAGCCGTCTGCGTCCCAAAGGAAGAATGAGGCAGAGGGCAGGTTATCACCAGATGGCAAGTGAGGTGAGGGTCAGAGTGTGTCTCTGAAGTTTACCACTGAGCCCCCAGGCCAGCATAGCATCCAGCTCTGCATAGGAGTCCCAGCAAATGTTGGGGTCCCAACCTCTGGGCTGGTTGGGGTGTCCACTTCCATTATACCTCTGCTTACAGAAGGACACTCCAAGTTATTCTCCAGACCATGCCTGTTTGTCCATCATCAAGGAAGTGGTTTTCAGCCATAAAGGCCTGGTAAAGGAAGCGAATTCAGAGTAATAGATCCGGAGGAACAAAGATGAACAGCCCCTGCCCTCAAGGAGACCCTGTTCTAGTGATGCGAGTGTAAACAGGGAAGTTACTGTGATGTTCAGGGTGCGGAAACAGTCATCTCTTTTGGCTCTTCTTTGCTTTCCTTCCCTTGGGGCAAAAGAAGACAAGTCTCTGACAGAGGTTACAGCTGGAGGGATTTAAGTCTGACATGGGAGGAACTTCCTGATGGGATGGTTGAGGACTGGTGGGTTAAAGGATTATTAGGCAGAGGGCTAGTGGCTGACTGTCCAGAATGCCTCAGTGGCATTCCTTTGCTGGAGGGGTGGGTGGTCTTTTTCTTGCAGAGATTGGAGAGAGGCAAAATACCCTAGAAGAAAAGGCTCTTTCACCTGGGGCCTCTCTGATTGATAGTCCTCAGGTCAGCAGCTACCTTGCTGGGGTGAGATTGGGGTGGAGAGCGCTGGAACCCACTGGAGGCATGGATGGTTTGGGACTGCTGAGTGTGTTCCTCTTCTCCTTCCCTCAGGCTGCCATAAAAACCAGGCATGGGGTTCACCCCATCCTCACCATTCCATTACCCCGCCCCCCAAGCCACCCTGGTGAGCTAGTGTCTCCTTGAAATGGACACCGCCTGCCCTGATCCAGGCCAGGAGGAATATAGGGCACTGGTTGAGGTTAACCCTTGTGCAACCACAAAGGAATCAGGCCAGTCCTCTTTGCTCTGGGGGTGCCAAGAAGGGAAGTGCCAATCAGTCTGGGTGGGAGAGGCCCCTGACTGTGACTGTATCTTAACTCCAGGACTGACCCAAAATGACACTTACATCCAAATGTGCACTGTTGAGTTCCCAGGACATCAGGCTCCCAGGGAGAGCTGAGAGTGCCCAACCCAGCCATTTCCTGTGGGGGATGGGCCTGGGAGCAGCCACCTAACATCATAATGAAACCCTCCATAGACCGCCCTCCCCATTCTTGAGTATCCCAACTGGAGGTCCCTGATCTCTGGTTCTCCTGGCACTAACTGTAACAGAAAACAGCCAGGCTTTCCTCTAGCACACAGCAGCTGGGTTTCCCTGGTCTTCACTTGGCATAGCTGCCTCTTTTTCACTCCAAGAAAGCCCCGCAGAGGTCCTCCTGTGGGCAGGCTTGGCAATGCTGGCTTCCCAAGGAGGGGCATGGTGTGTCAGGCCTCAGAGCAGGTTCATGAGCTTTGCTCAGCAGCCCCCAACCCCCAGCTCTTTTGGGGGCTGGAAGCAGGGAGATGGGAGGTGCTCAGCGGGTGGTTTTTGGTGAAGAGAAGGGTCCATGACTACCCCTAGCTGGCACCCAGCAGTACAGTGATTGCTGGGTGCCTCGCTTCCTGCCATGCTCATGTCCTGCCAGGTTGGGAAGGGGCTAGGGTTGTAGGCCAGTGGATGTGCTAGTTCCCCCTTGGCTGGCAAGGCCCTGAGGTTGGCACAGCCAGCTGGCCATGGCCCTGGTTCTGAAGTCACAGAGTCCCTGGTGTTTCCTGGGGTGGGAGGTGGAGGTTAGATTGTATAGCTCCCTGGTGGAGGGCCAAGGAGAGCAGGATTCTTCCCCTGGCAACAGGAACTCTGGAGTGGGCCAAATTGTGGTACCTGGGGAAACATTTTCTTTCTTCCTGGGGCTGCATCCACCATGGGCTTCTGTCCTGCTTTCCCCAGTTCATCCTAGAGGCCAGTGAAATGGGTTGTGAGACCCCTGGATGCTCAGCCAGACACTGCCCTACCCAAGGTACCAGTTGTTTCCAAGAGCACCCATGCCCCCCCCCACACACACACACCCTTTAAAGCGGGCAGTTCCCGGTGTGGGCCATCACCACAGCTGGTGAGTTGGGAAGCTCAGGGGAGGGAGCCACAAACCCCAGAAACCAAAAATCAATGTGTCTGGGATGAGGGGAGGGGCTGCGTGGGACAGGATGGAGAGGGCAGAGTGGAGGGAGAGTTAGCAGGTTCTACCCCCACATGCTCAACTCAGCTTCAGGAAGCATCCTGGCTCCCTCCCTGTTGGGTGACACAGGGCATACCTTTCCCTATACCTCACAGTCAGTGGGAGGGCTGAGAAGCAGCGATCAGATCACCTGATCACCTGGACTCTGGCTGTCCTCCCTGGGGCTGGAGGAGGGATGGGAGCAGGAAAAGGAAACAAAGGCTAAGCAGGCAAGGCCCCACACTCTGAGCCCCTCACCCTTCTTCTCCGGCACCTGTATTTCATCTATTCATTTGGTGTGTCCTTGTAAGTTTTCACCTAACAAAAGGACTCTGCTAATGCAAAACAAGTTTGAAAAATACCCTGCTAGTGCATGTGGGTGCAAGGGGTGTGCATGTGCAAATACGCTGGCAACAAATACGTGTGTTCCATGTGAGTAGATGCCTGCAGAGTCAGAGAGCAGCTAGGCACGCATGTGCTTGCACACTTCTGGTGCAGATGTACTGTGAGTGTGGAGGCAGGAGTGTGAGTGTGTGCCCTTCCAGTACCAGTGCACACGCGCATGTGTGTGTGCATGCGCAAGTGTGTGCTTGAGTGGAAGTGTGGTGGCTCTCTGCTCAGGGATTCTAGCTGAGGCCTGCTGGGGTGCCGAGTTTCCATTCTCTTGGTTGGGAGGGCTGGGTATTTGGTTTCATGGGAAACCTTTTCATTCCAGCAATTATATAGCTGCAGGCCTTTGCTGAGGAAATTAATGAATTCTCCCACCTGGGCCCAGGGCAAGGTGCCACTTCCACTGCAGGCCCTGCTTTGGGTAGGTGTGGGGAGCTTCTATGAGGCCTGGCTGGGTGTACGCATGTTGGTCCTGGAAAACAGCAGTGCCCTGGGGACCCTGAGGAGGGCTGTCAGGAGAGCTCCTGAAGAGTGGGGTTCAGGAGGGGCACCCCTACCCAGCAGGCAATGCCAGTCTGTGTGTGTGTGTGTGTGTGTGTGTGTGTGTGTGTGTGTGTCTGTGTCTGTGTCTGTGTCTGTCTCTCTCTCTCACCTGGAGCTGAGGCACCTGAGGGGGTGGGTGGCAGGCAGCCCTGGGGCCAGGCAGCTCCCTGGGGACTTGTACTCAGCAGCAGTGGTGGTGTGGGGGGGAAGGTGCGGATGACTCTGCTGCAGCCCCATGGAAAGGTCTCCTCCTGACTGCCCCAGCCAGCTCTGGATTGTAGGCCCTTCACCACTCCTACCCCAGACTCAGGACCACACCCAGGTTGTGAGGAGGTGCCCAGCCCAGCTCATAGTGGGCAAAGAGTAACTAGCGCTCCCCCTCCTGTGTGGGGAGCCAATGGGGTGGGGCAGCAGGAGGGCCACGCACATCTCTAAGCCACAGCTCAGGGGGCCACAGGGGCCAGGCACAATTTTTTTTGGAGGCTTCCGCTATATTTAAAAATGAAGAAATGCGAACACAGGATTATAAAAATTATATAAATTATTTAAATTATTTAAAATGCCTTCTTTTTGATCAAGGAGTTCATACTCATGTTTTAAAATATTTAACTGTTGCTGGAAGGCTTATAATGAAACGCAGCCACCCTCATTCCACCTCTCCATCTCATTCCCCAGAGGCAGCCACTTTGAACTCTAGG